TATATTATTAATTGTTCATTAGCATTAAAAAGAGTGTATATTTCAAACTTGGGATCAAACAAATGGCCATAAGATGGTTTTTTAACGTTGTTGCATCATATTACTATACAACGGTTACATGAATTCATTGCTCTATTTTATATATAATATATAATTTATTTTTATATTATTTGTTTTAAAAAAAAGTTTAAAATCTTCTCCCGAATCAACTGAAACACCTAATTGCTTTATTTTTCTCATCAAACCAAAAAAAACCCCTAAGCGAATCTCACAACATTACTAAATTGTTCTATCCTTGGACTTTTTTTCTTTAAATTACTTGGTGCGCCTCTATGAGAAGTGGGTACGACTTATTAAAATTGTTTATATAATAAATAAAATAAAATACTAACGAGCTGTGATCAGCATCAGATTATGACTTGTGAGAGGAGAGGCTAACTTGTAACATTATAACCATCCATTTAGATTAGACAGAAAGGGGGTGCCACTCACAGGCACACATACACAGAACGAGAGAAGTCCAAAACTATGTAAGATTCTTCAGCTTCCTTCTTTCTATTGATATCAAAGGCTGAGAGAGAGAGAGAGAGAGAGAAACAGAGGAGCAAAACTATGGAAGACTCTTCAGCTTCCTTCTTTCTATTGATATCAAAGGCTGAGAGAGAGAGAAACAGGGGAGCTAAGTAGACACCACCAAATAAAACCCATAGAAGGTGTTCTGCCACTGATATCAAAGCTTCCTCCTTGAAGCCAGGAGTACTTTAATCTGCAGCTTCTGCCCTAATTCACAATGGATGTCCTCACCGCAAATGTACCATCTTTGGCCCTCTTCCTCCAGGCTTATGGTATCATGTCCAGACCTTTCTATCCCCAAATTTGGCTCCTTTATGCAATTTGTGAAAGCTGTCTCATTAACTCTCACTACACTGTGATGACTCGCATTGTATTTAAACACTGCCAAAAGTTTAGAGGAAAACATTGTTCTAGTGTCATGCTTATGAAACTGGCCAAATTTGGAAATATCCTAAATTTTTTAAAATGCGTGCTTCTCATGCTACAGAGATAAAAGAACATACAAAAAGAAGAAAAAGGGTTCGTATACTATGAGACCATTTATTTTTGTTACAAAGAGGTCACAATTGAGACTATCGATTAGATGTCAAATTGAACAGCTTGGGGGTGTGTCATAAAGTTCGAGAATTTTTTTGTTTTGAATTTGGGGTATAGTTAATGATATACTCACAACCATCTGATTAAAATCTGATGGATAAAAGTGATTGTGACCTTTTTGTATCAAAAAAATAAATGGTCTCTTGTATTCTTTTTCAAAAAAAAAAAAAAAGAAGCACTTTAAAAGTGCTTGAAGAAATAATATCTTAATACTGAATAAAGACATCTAATTTTTGGATGGTTGGACCTAAACGTTTTAGTGGCCTATTTTTTTTAATATTGGAAAACTTTCTAAGCGATCATATTGATATCAAGATTTATAAATGCAAAAAAATAAAAGAAAAAGGATTTTGAATATAAAAAATAGTGTATCTTGCAAGACATTATCTTGACCGTCCATTTTCAAGAATTTTACATGTTTATAGATCTACTTGATTCGAACCATTTTGGGAGTTTAAAATTGAAAAATTAGAGATGAAAAGGGACTCTCAGACAATCCTAAGAATTTTTGAAAATACTCGTCCAGTGATTCTAAAGTATATCCCCATATGAGTGTGCTCTAGAAGAAGTATGCTATTCCAATATTTTAAAAAGGGAAAAGTTTTGTTAACCTTGTACTATAGAAGCAAGGAGCATCTTAAAAATCCGTCACAAAAATGTTTTTCCGATGTTGGAGAACCCTTCAATTGATGATCTCAACTCCAAGATGTAAAAATATGGAGAAAAAAATGTATTTCAAGTCTTAAAAATAATATATCATGTAACACAATACCTAGACAGTCTATTTTTAATATTTTCAAGTAGATCTACTTAATTTACACTATTTTTAGAGTTTTAAATTTCGTAATTAAATATAAAAATGGATTTTTAAAGCAATCCTAAGAATTCCTCTTCCGACTAAATTTGACGGTGCGCTTTACTTTGATTATTTAATGTTAACACCTTATACACACCTCAACTTTTTTAGACACTAGTATGAGATGATTTTGGTACTTCAAATATGCTGGTATGAGATGATTTTGCAACTTGAGAGAGAGAGAGAGAGAGAGAGAGAGTGCAGAAAATGAAGCTTTTCTTCTTATCTCTCTTTTTTTTTGAGAAACTGTTACTGAGATTTCTTCTTCTTATTTCTCTTATCGGTAAGAAACTAGTACGTATTTACGCATGGGGTGAGGTTTTTATAGAGCCTAGGCTCTAAACAATCAAATGAGAGCTTACCTTCTAATAGTGTCGAGAAATGTGGTTTCAATAGTGGATATCTTTGTGATGGCTTTAAAATATATTTTGGTCTTTATTTATAAAATTTAAAGCTTTAAAAATAATGTAGATCGACAGATCTATGAAATCTTGAAAATTAACGGTCAAAAAATGTGTTACAAAATATATTATTTTCATAACTTGAAATCTATTTTTTTCTCATGGCCATGCATCTTGATGTAAAGATGATCAATTTGAGGATATTTGGTCATCAAAACAATCTCTTCTAATGAAGCTCTAATTTGATTGTTTAGAGCCTCGGCTCTATATAAACTTTTCCATTTATTATGTGTTCGCTTGATAAAAGAAAATGAATGAAGCTAAAATTAGGGGAAGGGTTTACCCAGATCGTCACCAACATGGAATCGGTGGTCCATGGACCATTTTTGGTAGTTGTAGCTTAGGGTCCATCCATGATCATCTCCAACTATATGCGTCGTAGCAGAAACACTGGTAGTTGCAGATAATAGAGAGAAGACAGAGAGAATAAGCGTTTGAGAGAGAGTTCCCATAGTCCTGGGGTAAGAGCTTGTGATTTGGCCATGGGTTTTTCAGGATATTTACAGAGTGATTTGAGAGAGAGAGTGTGTCATGAGATTATGGTGCCCTACCATCCTTGTAGGAAAATGTTGTTGCATACTAAGAAATGGAGTGGGAGTTGAAGACTAAAATGCCCCCAAAATTTACAATTTTTCGTATGTTCAAGTAAAATTTGGCAAAATTTTTACGTTGGCTATCTACCTAACACAATCATACCCTTTTAACCGAGCATGAAATAGGTTAAGAAAAAGTTTAATGTGATCGCCCTTGTTAGACCTATAGTATATATTATTGTAAGGCATATTTCTAAATTTTGCTTGGAGATGTAGTTCGAGTGTCGAGCACACATTTGAATTTGCATGAGATGTAAATCTAGTGTCATAAACCTTACGATCGCTGAAAAGTATATATTCATCCCCAGTTGTGAAATTTAAAATTTAAAAATATATAAACACTTTGAAAATCTTGAAAATAGACGGCTTAGATAACTTGTTACAAGATGTACTATTTTTAAGATTTGAAAAAAAAAATTTCTTCATTTCTTCAATTGGGGAGTTCTCGAATAGCGGAACACTCTCTTCTAGAGAACTGTTTAAATGCACCATACTTCAATAGTATAAGCTTGTGATATTATATAAACTTTTTCAATGATAGGGTGCAATTTGCATAAGGCATCGGGCTCATGAAAAATCTAAGGCCGCACCATTCAAACACCACTGAAAAGTGATGATCCGGCACCGGAAATCGCCACACTGGCTTGAAAAATCTAGCTCTACCTCCCATCATGAAATTCAAAGTGCAAATCTATAAACACTAAAAAATGGAGGACGCTCGAGATAATATGTTACAACCTCATGAATTTAAAGGGTTTTCGAATTCCACAACAGTACTCCGCGGTAGGTTTCGGTGATGCGGCTTTACTTTTCATTGTAAGGCGGCAACCTCATATAAACTGAACAATAATCCTCCACCTTAGTATTTAAGAAGAGGAAAATGCAGAAATTTAGGAGAAGACCAAAAATTCTTGGCTTTGGTGATAAAAACAAAACAGCCTTTGACTAACATTACTTAAATACAGGAATGGGGTTGAGGTCCAAGTTTTTATTTTCACGAACGCATTCGAAAATCGATAATTATTTCTAAAATGAGTAAAGGCTTGTAATCCCTATTAATCCACTAAAAAATAACATTATCTAAATGCCCATGTTAGACCAAGGTTATAACAAAGCAGTGGATAAGCCTAAAAAAATTATATAGATATATAGCGGGAGGTATAAGAGGTAATTGGATCAAGACCTATATCATAGATCGATCCCAAGTGATTTTCCACCCATATTTGGGTCGGGACCTATATCATTTTAAAACCGGTTTGTTTCCAACCGATTTTCCATCGATATTTGGCAATCCAAATTAAGAATCGCCGGATTTTAAAATACAAGAATGAACAAATAAATGGACGTGTAGAGAGAATCAATGGAGTTATAGAGAGAGAAAGAGAGCACACAAACAGAGCATATCTTAATATAGTGTATATGTGTGAGAGGGTGGGATCAAAATGAATAAATATAATGTCCATGAGAAAGAGATCTAATGAACAAATGGTCATCTAGAGCAATGTTCACAAAACTGGCCGATCTAATCGTTAATCGGTCGGTTAGATTGGAAGTGGCTAGCGACTGGTTCCAATTTTGGCCGGTTTTGGTGGTCACTCATTATTTTAAACTTTTAATATAATAATACTTCATATTCAAATCAAATACATTAAAGTCGTTTATTGATTAGCTTTGTTGGTTTTATATGAATCAGGGTTCGAATCCTATCGCCAACGCTTTCTGCTTTAATTTATGCCATTTACTAATTAATTGGGTGGTTAAAAAACCATATACCATTTACTACTTAATTGATCATGTCATTTAAAACTATATGCCATTCACTACTTAGTTGATCATGTCATTTACTACTTAATTGATAAAAATAAGGGTTTGTATTATGTACAAGATAATTTTCTTTAAAAAAAAAGAGTTGGCCAAGTCATTTTTTTAACACTATTTTAATATTAATTACATTATGGTAAAGATTAAAAAATATTTTGGTCATTGATACTCACTTTTATATTTTCCTATATTTTCAAAAAAAATAAAAAATACCCCTAGACACAAATCGACTTGTTAAAATTCATTTTTTCATTAATTTTCAATTTCATTTGAGCGTGTTTTGTTTTAATCGCATTCTTTATATGCTTTTCATATTTTAGTAGATGTTTTTTTTTTTTTTTAACATTTTTTTGATTGTTCCGAACTTATTCAACCGATTTACTGGTTAGGCCGGTTAAATCGCTTCCAAGCCCATGTCCGATTAACCGTTCTGGTTCATTTTGTGAACACTGATCTAAAGAAAGAAAGAGAGATCAAATGAACAAATTTACATCTGAAAAAAATTTATATAAGTGCGAGGCTCTAAACAATCAAGTTAGAGTGAACATTAAAATTTTCACTTGAAGAGGTTATTTTGATGCTAAAAGATCCTAGAATTGATCATCTCAACTTCAAGATGTATGGACAATTGACAAAATGGATTTTAAGTTGTGAAAATAGTGCATTTTGTAATATATTTTCAAACCGGTAATTTTTAGGTGTTTATAAATTAAATTTAAATTTTATAATTAAAGATAAAAATAAATTTTCATAATAAAGATTTTCAGTATTGAAAGGGAGAGAAAAAAGAGAGGGAAGCAAACATCTCACATGACCCAAATGCCCCTCGCGGGCGGACACAAACAAAACCGCCGAATGCGACAAAAAGACCACTCAGTAATATAACAATAACTACACATTCCCCATTGACTTTAAGCCTATTAATTTGGCGGCATGCTGCTTCATTAATATCAATTTCCATAAACTCAGAGAAAAATCAAATAAATATTAATAGCAGCAATAATAAATTTTCCCTCTAATTTCCGAAATATCAAAACACGGAATACAAGAAAGTGAAAAGGAATATAAAACTCGCGCTCCAAACTTCTGTTTCTCACTCTTCACATTCTCTCTCTCTCTTCAGTTAAGCGCCATGCCAGAGCCCTGTGATCTGCAAGTTCTTGTCAATGGCCATTCCACATTCTTTGTAAATAAGGTAAGTAAATGGCGAAAAAGTCTTAGCTCTCATGTCAGCAATTGCCTGCAATTTCTTTCTATTTATAGCAACTGTAAATGATTTCACAAGCGATTCCTGTTATGTTACTTGTACCCATTTTATGACTTCTTTAACAGAATCCTCTTACAATCATCTGCAAATTCTTTCCATTTATGGTAGCCTTAAATGACACAGAGAGCAATTCTATTTACTATGCCTCTGGAGAAGGTTCTGTGAATCCATCTCTCTTTAAATCCTTTTCAGATTTAATGACAATTGAAACTGCTGCTTATTATGGAATTTATTCGTCCCAGTGGATTTCTCAGCAGTTTTAGGGGTTGAATCGCCACTTTGGCATGTCCTTTGCGCATTTGTAGTTCATTGTAACAGCGACATTGCATAAGTCCTTCTTTCTGAGATTTATTTCTACTAATAGAAATTTAATGGATTCAAAGTTTCAATCAAACACTGGACAATAATGTAATGGTTTATTTCTGCATTTTATTTCCATTTACAGTTAATACTTCTATTTCTTGCGAAAGCATCTTTACGAAGTTCTTTTCCTTTTGCATTAACTGCTACGATTAAGTACGCTTCTTTCTGCAATTTCTTTTCATTTATAGTAACTGAAAGGTAAACCTTCATCTAATCTCTTCTCTTCATTGTTTCTTCATTCTCAGAGGATAATCTCATCATACTCAGGCCGATTCAGAAAGCTTCTAAATCAAGAAAGAGAAACACTGACCCTAAATCCCATCATCAAGATCAACGATATACCAGGTGGCGCCCATGGCTTCGAGCTGGCATCAAGGTTCTGCTACAACAATGGCAAAATCCACATCTCAACAAAGAACGTTGCCCTCCTCTTCTGTATCTCTATCGCCATGGAAATGAACTCGAAGCTCTCATCCTTTAACCTACTGAACCAGACACAAACCTTTCTCCAAGGCCTCTTTTACTGGACCTTCAACGACACCTTAGCGGCGTTAAAGCAATGCGAATCCTTCGTCAGTGTTGCGGACTCGTCAGGCCTCCTAGACAAGCTCATTGACTCGCTCCTGAACCGAATCGCAGTCAACTCCGATGGAATGTTCCCACACCATTACGGAAAACCGCTTTCTTCTTCTTCTTCCTCCTCTGCTTCGTCTTCACCTGATATATCCGGTTTCCGGTTTTCCCCTGACGTTACGAAACGGGGGTCGAGGCCGTGGTGGTTTGATGACCTAACGGCGTTAAGCCCCGTTATAATCCAACGGTTGTCAGTTACCATGAGGCGTAACGGCGTGGATTCTCTGTTACTTTCCCGCTTTCTACTCCATTACCTAAGGTATGCCGTACTGACACGAGGCAGTTCCGGATCGATAGAAGGTTACAGCGGTATTAGCGAAATTGCTGTTTCAGGGGTGGTTTTGAGGAAAAGCGGTTTTTCTTGCAGGGGTTTATTTGGGGTTTTAAGGGTCGTTTCTGGTTTTGAGGGTAACAAGGATTGCAGGCAAAAGGTAGAGGAATTAATCGGTTCCATGCTTGATCAAGCCACTCTGGATGACATTTTGGTCTCTGGTTTTGTGAAACCGAGTGGTTTCAACAAAAGTGGTATTGGAAAATCCGGTGGCTTTTATGATGTGAGCCTGGTTCTGAGGCTGGTTAGGGTTTTCTTGGGTAGTAATGGAGAGGGTTCGGATATGGATAGGGTGAAGAGAGTGGGGAGGTTGGTTGACAAATATTTGGTCCAAATTGCCCCTGACCCAAGCCTGAAGGTCTCTAAGTTTGTGGCCCTGGTGGTGAGCTTACCTGATTATGCCAGGGACTCTCATGATGGGGTTTATGCTGCCATTGACATGTACCTTCAGGTCAGCCTCTTTCTCTCTCTCTTTTTAATTGGGTTTTGGCGTTTAGCCGTATCGTTTGATCTCCTCTCGTCTCTACATACATTTCATGTTACTTACAGAGTTCTCTCTCTCCTGTTGGGTTAGGTATATTCCATTGGAGCTTTCGCGCTTCACATACATGTCATGTATCTTCAGTTCATTCTCTCTCTCATGTTGGGTTTAGCCATTTCTTTTGACCTCTCTGTCTTTCAATAGATACATGAAATGATGGGTTTAGGCTTTTTTTTTTAACCTTGTCTATCTCCACGTATTCATGTGACCCGGTTTCTACCCGGCCAAGCCTGCATGTGTAGAAATGTGGGCCTCTTAGATGAACTTTAAGACTTAATTTTTAAAGACATGCAATCTATAACACGGAGATCATGAATATGAAAAATAAATAAAATAAAAAAGTTAGAAGTAATAATTTTTAAAGACATGCAATCTATAACATTTGGACCGCTAATTTCCATTGTTTTTAAATAGAACACTTGCATCCATCTTTAAGATGGATGCTTTACATTTTCTGGACTACATATGTAGAAATGCAGTCCAGCCCACATAAAACAATTTTCCTTAATGCTTTGGTGGTTGTTTCATTTATTTGTTTCTGAGGCTAAAAGGCTGAATTTGGTTATATATATATATATATATATATATATATATATATATTTATTTTTAGGAGTACG